TCAGTCCCTACCCTACCAAAGAGCTTGCAATCTAAGGTCCCTATCTCACATGCATGTGTTTTATTGAGACAAGAGTCAATTAACCTACCAACATGCATGGTGAAGAAACCCACAAAAGCACAGGGAGAACATGCAAACTCCATGCAGATAGTTTACTTAATGGGATTCAAAGTGGGGACCTCCAGTGCTGCAAGGAAGAAGGGCTAACCACCGTGCTACTGTGCTGTCCACAATTATTATTATACAGGATTTATATAGCGCCAACAGTTTGCGCAGCGCTTTACAATATAAGGAAGACATTATAATCACAATACAATTCAGTGCAAGATGGTAAGGAGGGCCCTGCCCATGAGGGGTTACACTCTAAAAGGGAGGGGGAAGTGATGCATGAGGATGTAGCTTTGTTACTTCTACATTACACCCATAATTAGAGTGTAACATGAAACAAGGTCATGGTCTGCACTCTTCAAAAACTAAACCGAAATGGAAAAAAATGTCAGGGCGAAACTGAAAATGTTTTATATTTTAACTTTTTCAAAAAAATGTTAATATGTTATTTTTTTTTTTTTATAAACTTTTTAAATTTTTTAATATTTTATTTGTATTTATTTATTTATTCATTTTTTATTAAATATTTCTTTTTTTTACTTTACTTTTAGGGGCTTTGGGGAAATATTGGGGGTCTAAACAGACCCTTGATATTTCCATTTTAAAATAGAAAAAGAGATTGGGGACCTGAGTCCTCTATATTTTTTTTCTGCAGCCTCAGTTATCAATGAACAGGAATCCTCTATACTGAGTGTTCCTGTTCATTCATAACATGAGGACAGAGTATGTTTACTATAACCACAATCATGAATGAGCAGGAGGTGGTGTTGATAACTTCCCATTCATTCATAATTGAGGATATAGTAAACATGCCATGTCCTCACTTATTTACAAACACTCAGCGATCACTGATCCCTGAGTGTTTGTACCACTTTCTCCATCCTGACAGCTGTCACAGGAGGCTGCACTGCAAGCTGTCTCCGCCCACACACCGCTCTGCCGATCTTTCCCAGGAGGCTGAGCGGTGCGGGGAAGAGAGACGCCGGCCGCTGACAGCGCTCTTCTCACGCAATGCTCGGCCGCCTGTCACAGTTTCTCCCCTCCCCGCTTGGACACAGATGCACTGCTATTTCGGCCAGAAAATGTAACTTTCGGCATTTTGCCAAAAGTGTCATTTTCTGACTATATGTTTCGGTGGGCGATATATCGGTGCATCCACAATTATTATTGCTATTTTTATAGCGGAGACAAATTTGTGCAGTGCTTTACATCAGTCCCTGCCCTCAAGGAGCTTACAGTCTAAGGTCCCTATCTCACATGCATACATAGAGGGCCAATTTAAAGAGGGGCCAATTAACCTTCCAGGATGTCTTTGGAGTGTGGGGGGAAACCAGAGTACCCAGAGGAAATCTCCCTGTGCTTGTGTGCTGTGACGTCACAGCACACAAGCAAAGGGAGAACAAGCAAACTCCTTGCAGATAGTGACCTGACCGGGATTCGACTCCTGGACCCCCAGTGCTGCAAGGCAGCATTAATTTTGCATATCATTGATTTACAGATTTATTCATAGAATCTGTGAATAAAAATACTACAAGTCCCATTTGCTCTATTAAATGCCGTACAGCTATTGCTCTAGTTCATGTAGACAGGAAGTGGCTGTAAAGAGATTACAGGACATCAACAGCACTGAGATGAAACAACGGATGAAAAAGGGTGAAAACATGTGGAATTGATTCCTGTAATACAAAGGTGACTAATGATTGGAGGATCTGCATCACTAAATATCAACTGAGACTGAACATGGATTAATAGCACACGAAACCGCCTGATGATCTCAAGGTGTATGGGCAGCTTAAGTCAACAAATGTTCTTTCAACTACAAGCAGCTTTAAGTTCTACCGTTTGAGCAGCTGAAGAATATTTGCTGGTCATTGGAGCCATCTTCTGGCTGATCCTGGAAGTACACAAGACCCTTGAAATTAGTTTTGATATCCCATTAACAGTACATAGAGCGGGGGTAGGCAACCTCGGCACTGCAATCATGCTGAAACTACAAATCCCATCATCATATGCCTCTGGGAGTCATGCTTGTGGCTGTCAGTCTTGCAATGCCTCATGGGACTTGTAGTTTCATAGCAGATAGAGGGCCTGAGATTACCTACTCTTGGCATAGAGGCTGTTATAAGTTCTGTATTTCTCCCTCTCTAATATTGTAGCTTTCTAGCAATCCCTGGATAGCAGCTGTAAAATTCTTGCTAAAAATCAACTTTACCTTTTAGAAAACCTTCAGGATTCAATGACATCATTTGTTGCAATTTTAAAGGAGAACTATGAGGTGAATGATTTTCACTCATCCTCATAGTTCGAGCCGACGTGTGACAATTAAACTGTCACAGGTCAGCTCAATAGATCGGGAAGTGAGTGAACACTTCTCGATCCTACCCCTGCAAAGAGGCGTAACTGTCACTCACGGCTCCCTGCAGGGATTCACCCCCTCTCCGATCCTCCAGCTCTGACTGGTGGAACGGATAGGGGAGGGGGCGGGTACAGCTGGCTCTGCCTCTAGATAGGCAGAGCCAGCTGTTAATCACGCAGCTGGGTAGATCTCAACAGTAATGTTGGGATACTGAGCTTTGGGTCACGGGAGGACGCTATTTTGTGTCCTCCCATGACCCTTAGGAGAACTATGGGGAAAAACACTTACCCCATAGTTCTCCTTTAACAGTAATTTTTCATCACAGACAGAATTATGATGACCTAGTATGCATTGCAATGATAACAACTGTACTTTAACATCATTGTCAGTATTACAGCATCAAAGTATGTATTGTGTTGTCACAAATCATCTCACAATGACACCGTCATAACACTTTTAAAATCCCACTATCAGGATTCTTATGACATAATAACTATTAAGATGTCAGTCATTATTTTGATGGCATAGTCAATAATATGATTGCATTGTAGGTATGTAATGTCCAATCAAAATTCTCATACTATATTAGGTAATTTAATACTATAAACTGCTCTTGCGGTGGCACAGTCATTATGACGACGGCACATCAGTTACTGTGGAGTCATAATTATTATTGCGCTCTGACAGTCACAAGTATAATGTCAGTAAGAATTCTTAAGTCATAGGGATTACTGTGATGTCATATCCAGAATTGTATATATAATTATATAACTATGATGTTAGTAATTATTGTGATGTTCAAGTCAGTATTACGCTCTCATAGTAGGTTCTGTGCAACCAGAAATTGATCAAACTGAAAATAGTAATAAAAATGCCTGGAAAAAAAAAGAATTGCACGCCGCCATTTAGGAGAAGATCTTAGTATACACCAAGATGGCGGCACTTAAATATGCGGGTGCCGCCATCTTGGTGTATACCAAGACTTACTTTAAAATGGTGGTGTGCATGCGCAGAACGCGCAGGGTGCCAATATGACCGCCGCTCGTTCTGCGGTTTTAGCGTGCAGTTTCGGATTCGGAGGCTCATTGCCTGAGAATCCCAAACAACATAAAAATGTGTTTCCTTTGACAAAACAAATGAATACCACAGAAAACCATATACGGATATTAATTGTGCCGCCCCAATGGGGTAGAGGAAGTTAATGTTAGATTCCTGATATCCCTGAGATCGATAACACAGTTCCTCTGTATGTAAGCCCCACCCTTCTTCTTGTTTGTGGGTATTTCCTGTGTCATGGCCACAGCTAACAGCCACATGTAATCAGGACACATGTACTCTGCATAGTATCCTAGGAAAGGCATCATCTTTTGACCGCATAATACTGTAACCATTCATCGCTGTTATCCTGTTGTCTTCACGTTCAGAACAAAGCAACCTTTGTGGATGAACACGGTATTGGTGAGTTCAGCTATCTGACAATGAATGTCCTCAGTGATTGAATCTACTTATACAGGCCAGGCATAGAGGTCTCAACAAGGGTTACATCGCTATCACAACAATAGGAGTCAGAATGTTAATACTGACTCCGATTGCTCCTAGACCCAAATGGCATTTGGGATCCGAATTTCCAAATTGGATTCGAGAGCTCCCAAATGCAATTCGGGTCTGGGAGCCTCAGCGTGTGTGATATATGTATAGGCTCCCAGACCCGAATGGGATTTGTGAGCTCTCGAATGCAATTTGGAAATTCGGATTTAGTATTATATGTATATACTGTATATGGCTCCCACTTTGCCGTAACGAGAATTCGTGTTCAGACCCACATTCAGATGCATTAAACTGAAAAACACATCTGATTGGCCAGAAAAGTCACATGTTCGATTCAGTTTCGTGGAATTGGATCCGAAATTCGGAAGCGTAAATTCGAATTTGGACACAAATTTCTGAAAATTCGTCTCAACGAGACGAATCACGCGTCTACTATCAGGCAATGCGACATCGGGCACCTCAACTGTGGGTGAGTGTAGGAGGGTGCCTATACCATAGTACTGGGGTGTGTTTAGGTTTTAATTTTCTGGCAGGTTTGCTTCATCTGAGTTAGCCAGAGTCATGGCACAACACATGAATCAGTACAGGAAAGAGCAGACCAGTGTACGAAAAAGAACAGTAACATTGAGATTTTTCATTCTTACAAATGAAAAGCATTAGAGCAGTTAATGGTGAAAGGTTCTCTTTAATATTACATTTCTACAAGTCTCTATCTATTATTTCTGACAAATATATAGTGATGTTGGCTTGAAAAACAAAAATGAAACATGTTGGCCTTCATTTACAGAAAGATATGTGAACTATAAACTCTGTTGTCCCAAGCAGCCAATCAGCTTCTACTTTTTGTTTTAAAACCTGCCCTAGAACAGTGGAATGGAGAAGGTGGTTAGCTGGTAATACAGATAGTTACTTTTATATGTGCTACAACCAAACATCATTTATTAAAGAACCAGAATGAAGAAGTGAATGTTGCAGCAAGTCAAAGTCTTACTTTCATTTTTAACCTACAGTGATAAAATGAAGATTGGAATCTGATTGATTGTCATGGGCAACAGAGACAATATACAGGTCGGGTGATACATTTGGCCCACCAGGTAATGTAATGTTTTCTCGTATTCAGAAATTCTCATACTTCTTCATTGCCTCAAACCTATAGATGATTTGGTAGCCATCATCCCAACCGTAGAGCATTTGGTCTCTCGGATTGTAATGCACTGAAGAGTGATGGCTGTATCGCTTTGGGAAGTACAGAGTAGGTGTCTCGTGGCCATCAATGACATCGGAGGTGTCGAAGATACAGTCAATATGGGATCTACCACCATTTGGACTATTGTACATGACGTACAGGGTTCCACATATGACGAAGGCTGCCTCTGCGTTATAGCTGCTGCAGGTTGTGTTCCACACTTGGGTCACTGCCATGTCGGCCTGGTCTATTTTTGTAAGGACCAGGTTGCCGTCAGCTTCGGGTTCAGCGTGAATGGCCCATAGACCTTGCTCATCTATGGCGAGATCAATTTTTGTGTATGGTGAAAGCTGGTAGGGTGGACTATGCCCAGCACCCTCCAGATTCATAGACTGTGTAATGTTCTTCTGGATGTTGTATCTAACAATTTCATTCATTGTGCCCTTCTTATGGAAAAACACCTCATTCTTATAGACTTGGAGGCCGGTTCCTTGCCAGAAGAACGGCAGTTTTATAGATTCTGCTCTTTGCAGGAAATCCCGGCTGGTGAATTCCTCAATGTTGGCAAATTCTAGAAGCAAGTTGTTGCTGGAGGAAGTAAAGAAATAGATGTTTTTTGATTTGTCGCCGGCGTTTTTCATCCAAGCGCCAACAGCGCCCCCAGATTTCTTCACAGTTTTTAACGACTGGATTTGTGCCAGCATTATAGTGCAGCCTCAAAACAAGAACAACAATAGGTTAAAGTAGCCGAGGTGATCAATACATTTTCGTTCTTAGTGCCTGGCGCGTAGTTTTTGGCATGAGGCTCTCGGCACCAGGAACGGGTTTTCATAATATATACAAAATATCTCCTACACCTAACGCGCCTTTTTGTCTGACCTTCCCCAACACATGACCTAATCCCTAAAAGCTAAAATAATGGAATAACCCAAAATAAGTAAAAATAAAACAGTTTTTGCTACAATACACATGTTTCATCTGGCGCCCTTTCCACCACTAGATATCACCAAGGCAAGGGGATGGCCAGCATCATTGAACTCACTTCCTACTACTGCACTGGACACTGTAGAAGGGGAGGAAGTACCTGTGACATCACCAGAACAGAAAGAAGACCCCCTGCAAAAAAGAAGGGGGTGGCTCCGGGCCTCCTATCACAATAACATTGGTACATAATAAAAAAGGTGCCCTGGCAGGAAGGGTTTGTTGATCCTATCCTTCCGAGCATGAAATACCATTTCCCAAAAACACAGAAAGTACAGACGTGTAATTTAATTCTGTGACTCACTCAATGCTATATGGCAAGAGTCATAATGTGATTCGTAGAGAGTATTCTCTAAAATGCATTATTTTTAAGAGATAAGATTAAACTAGATTAGATTAAAAGGCTGGCAGCCTGCCAACTCATTGATGGGAGGGGGGAGCTGAGCTTACCAAAAGTCAATGATAATTGTCAGCAAACTGAGAAGCCATTTCTGCAAACTGAGGATGAATAGCTCCACAGTGGCAGTAACTACAAAAGTCAGCAGGGGCTTGTTTTAAAGTTTATTTACTGCTTGTTAAAATATGTAAATATTTGATTGTCCATAGCCTGGCCAACGTTCTGCATTAATGACCAGCCAACTCAGATTTACTATGTATTCTTGCCCCAGGTGAAAGATCTATTTGTGCTATGATTAACAGTTGGAGTGCTATATTAAGGCTGCCACTGACAGCTGTGATCATAATGAATGTGCCTGGAGCAGAACACCCCAAATCCCAGTAGAGGTCTCCATTACTACTTGTTTAATTGAAAATGACTTTTCACAACTCCAAAAAGGTACTAGTACACGACTCTACAGAAAGTGAACTTTTATTAGTAGCCAACAATCCACAGCGCACTCTAGTGGTCATAATGTTATATTACATGAAAAAACATATACAGGGTTATTCACTAAAGGGTGAAGAGTTTGGAGAAGGCAGGAAAAGTGAACAATGTAGGACAACATAGCTGACTGGGAAAAACTCTCCAATTCAGCTGACTTTCCAGTTCAGCGATGTTGTCCTAGATTGTTCACTTCTCCCGCCTTCTCCAAACTCTTCACCCTTTTGTTAAAAGCACTGTTATTAGAAATACGTTCCCTTCTAAGGAAACAACTAAAGAATGTTAGTTTAGGCATATATCCACAAAGAACGAACATTCAAAGATATTTCCAGGGGCGAATGGCCCTGCAAATGTTTATAAATAGATCCCTATAAGACAATACAGAAATCCCTAATCTGCTGTTTTCCCATAACTAATCTTGGATTTGGTAAAAATATCCTTTCTTCAGATTTAGTTCCAGTAATAACACTTAGCTGATACTCACTTGTGCTGAATTTGAGCCGCCGTTTCCTCTTCTCTTCTGACTGTTCGAGAAGTTGCTTCTCCATCAGTTTGTCATCAACTTCCACTTGGGTTTTTGAGGAACTCGTACTCTCCAGGTAGTCAATATCCCACTCAGCTCTTTCCAGTCTTGCCCACAGATTTTCCATCTCACCCTTCACTTCCACTTTATAACTACTGAACTTGTCCAGGCTTGACACCAGCTTGTGCGACAACTCTTGAAATTCATGGAGGTAATGCTGTACATCTTGTTCGCACTTGAGCAGTCTGTCCTAGGAGACAATTAAACAGCCATTCTATGAAATGTTTACAGTTTGTAAAGTAGTTAAGTAAGCTGGAAAAAGATACAAGTTAATTAAGGTCAACTTGCACAAGATAATTTGCAGTTTAAAACAGATATGTACAAATCCCAGGAGCTCCGTGTGCTCCTTACAAATGACAGCTGCCTCCTAACTTTTTAATTTTTCTCTAGTCTAGTCTTGGAGCTCAAAAGTATCTGTACATGTACTCGCGCCAGTGAGAAGGTTCAGAACAAATCAAAACTTAGAATACTGACTGTGTCTGTGTCCTTTCACCAGTACATAGCAGTTAGTGTTAGAACCTAAAACTCTGTCTGGGGAATCATCATTGTTTCTGAGGGTCTGGTAGCATGGCTGGACTACCAGAAGGTAAAAAAAGCTGAGTGTGGGATTATACAGTGTGTAGGAGGCTTGGTGCCAATAAGAAGGTGCAGAACAAATCAGAACTGAGAATACATGTGTCCTGCATGTAAGTGACAGCCAACATGAGCAGATTTTTTAGAGATGAGGAATATCTGACACACGTGAAATCAATGCCAATTACCAATCAGCAAGCACAGTGGCTCATTGGTTAGTCCATTTGCCTTGCAGCACCAAGGTCCCAGGTTAGAATCCAAGTTCAGCCAGGACACTATCTGCATTGAGTTTGCATGTTGTCCCTGTGCTTGCATGGGTTTCATCCATGTACTCTGAATCGGTCCCAGCCTAAGTTGTCCCTGGTATGTGTGCATATCAGATAGGGATCTTAGTTAGAAAGCTTCTCGAAGGACAGGGACTGATATACTAGACTGATAGTATAGAAAGCACTGCATTCATTTATAGTGCCTTACAAATACCCATGATAGATAAAATGATTCATTAGCAGGTGCTTCACTTATGATTTCAACCTGTGTGGAGCAAGCTGGGTGTAGTTCCCCCAGTATTCAGAACAGCAATTCTGTATAGTATTTATTTATTTGTTATACATTCTGTATTGTGACCATTACATTAAAGAGAACCTGTACTTTTTCTGCAATTTCTAATCTTTTTTAAATTGACTTTTTGCTGATCCTCCAAATTCTCCTAATTCTGATTATATATATATATATTTGTAACAAACTGTCAGTTAGCAGGTAGAACAACTAGTAAATGTGTGAATTAAATTTGTTAAAAAGTTTTATTTGTTAGGAACCACAGACACAGCCAACACTTTTCAGGAGAAATACCTCCCCTTTCTTCAGGGCTTCAACAACAATTAGTAATGCAATCAGGATGAAATAGCATGCAAAGCCTGAGGCTGGATTGAGGCTGGAGTATTCTAATGCCATGTATACATCCAGCTGTACTTCTCTTAGTGGGGAGCTGTCAGTTTTGCCATCATTATTTGAGGCAGTCTCTATTCCGTTGGTATAGCTATAGCATAGGCATTCCTTACATCCACTTATTTATACATTAACAGTAAAAACAGCAAGTGTTGGCGCTCAGAAAGGGTTGCAAACTAAAATGCATTTCTATTATGTCACCACTTTAGACACAAATGGTGCTTTGCGTATCATTTTTGTGAAGAGATTTTTATATATGAACGTCTCATTCTTTAGTTACGGGCTGAAAAGCGGTTATTTTCATACACAATTGCACCATTTAATATATAGATATATATATGTTTGTTTTGCTACAGCGCTCCTAAAGCAGAAGTATTATACTCAAAGGACGGGCTGTAAAGCAAAAGTGTGCTAAAAGTGGACCTAATGAATCTCCTGAGCTTACAAATACATTCAGAACGTCCTTCTGTGCACTGGAAACGCAATTGAAATACATCACATTAAAAACAATGCAGCTGTATTGTAAATGGAGCCTTTGGGGTTAGGAAGGCAATACGTTTTTGTTTTCCAGCATTTTTAACCCCTTAGTTTCTTTTAGGCGGTGGCTAGATAAATTAAAGTAGATGTAATTCTTAACTGAATGACATGTAGCTGTCGGAAGCACTGCGCATCATAAGCAATTGCCACTGTTATCATAAAGTAATGTGTTAACCTATTTTTGCATGTTATTGCTGCTGATGTTCCATTAGTGCTGTACTTAGACTTGGTGCAAACCAAGATCGCCCAAGTTGGCCCAAACATGCGCAAAGCCATACCTCCCTACTATACCTCATTTGGAAATAAAAAAGAGAAGAAGTCACTGGCACACCAGTCTCCACTATACCATTCCATCTTATTGACATTGGATAGTCAAAACATTACATTGAAAGGCAACATTTCAGAACTGAATAGGTTCCCTCATTTTTTTTGCCCTGGTGAAGGAACCTTTTCGGTTTCGAAACATTGCCTTTCAGTTACATACAGTAGTACTGAGGTTGAAAAAAAGACACAGGCCCATCAAGTTCAACCTTTGTGTGTGTGTGTTTGTGTGTGCTGTGCGTGCATGTGTATAAGAGTCCCTGTGTGGTCTAGTATTTAAGTGTACCTGTACCCTTGTATGTTATGTTCTCTTAGGATGGTATCGAATTGATATTTGAACGAGTCAATATTCTTAGCAGATATCACTACTTGTGGCAGAGAGTTGCAACATTTAACTGCTCTAACTGAAAAGAATCCCCATACGCCCTTTGTGTATAAATCTTTTTTCCACCAATTTTAGGTGGTGGCCTCTAGTCCTTGTTAGGGAGTTTACAAGAAAACGTTTAGTGCCGATGTTTTCATCGCCACTGAACATTTTGTACATCAAAATCATGTCCCCTCTTAATCTTCTCACTTCCAGCGTCAACAAGTTTAAACTTAGCAGACGTGTCTCATAGCTTTGGTCCTCCAGCTCCTTAATCAGTTTATTTGCCCTTCTCTGGACTCTCTCCAGCTCCCGGACATCCTTTCTCTGGACTGGTGACCAAAACTGAACCGCATATTTAAGATGAGGCCGAACTAGTGATTGTTATAACTATCCAATGTCAATAAAGATGGAATGGTAGAGTGGAGACTGTGTGCCGGTGACCTCTTCTCTGATTATGTGCTGCACCATCCGCAGTCACTGCAGCCCCCACCCAAGGATAACAGGTTTATATCAGTCAGTAGTGCGATGGGACTTCTATATGTTCATTTGGAACCAAATCCCTCTGTCCCTTTTTCCTCCTCAGTTGTCCCTCTTTTTGGTATGATGTACAGATATCTATGAAAAAGGGTCGATTTAACGGCCAAAAGTGTTATTCTGCACTAAAGCCTTCATCTTATCTCTTAATTATCGTGTCTCTTATTTTGAACAGCCAGTGTAAAGGAAAATTAATGGTGAAAAAAAAAACAATTCTGGGCATAACATTTCATAATGGTCGGCATAACTGGGGGTGTGGCAGAGGTGTATCCATTGTGTAAATATTTTGTACTAGAAGGTGTCCCCCTATTTCATCTCTGAAAGTTGGGAGGTATGACCAGGGCCGGATTTCCCACAAGGCCAACCGAGGCCCAATCTTGGGGCAGCAGAGAGTAGAGGGGCAGCAGGGGTGTGAAATTCCTATCTCCCGACGCCCGGACATGCAATTCTGGTGCCTTGAGGGTAGTTGTTTTCTACATTTAGCTCTACTTTGTAGGGGGGCGCATTAAGGAACCTGGCCTTGGGGCAGAAGAGAGAGTAAATCCGGCCCTGTGTATGACAAAACTGTCAGATATCCATCCCCGTTTTTATTTATCATTGTGGCTGCATTTATTATTTTTTTCAAAAGGTGGACTATGCCTTTAAACACTGTCACTAATAGTGATAATTGTCTGGATGAAAAACCCATTCATGTTCCAATTATTATCATCAATATTCACCCTGCTCAGACCTTCATCAATTGCTCAGAACTTCAAACAACAGTTTTGCAGGATAGAATCTGCTTTGCAATGAAAAAAGAGAGCTGCTTGAAGCACTTCAGCAGTTGCCTTGGAGTAGTTGTAAGTAAAGAAAAAAAGCAGACTGGCAAGAGTCCAAGTCAGGGAGCCCTTGTTAAACCTCTATGGGTGATGAGAGGACAATGTTTCCACTTCCTCGTGGAAGGTTGAAAATCCTTTTAAAATCAGCTCCAGCTTGAAAAATAAATGTGTTGTCAGATTGAATAATGCATTACGTACCTCCAGACTCAAAATCCGTTTCTCGATGTATCGAATCATGGTTTCATCTTGAACTTCACACTGAGTGTTCCTCTGAGTTATGAGCAGAAACACAGACAGAATTTGCAAACAATAAAGCTCCATTTTCTAAAGTCCTTCAGCAGAGCTGCCTTGGTGCTGTAAAGTCCAGATTTGTTTCATGTGGTGTCCTTACGTAGAAATGCTGATTAAGAGGGGAGTGAAGATTCAGAAAAGTGTCTTGCCTCTCTCAGGCCGAACAATGCTTAATATAAATTCTTTCTTCTAGGGTTTTTGCCAAATGTTGTAATAGAATCCTCATGTTAAAAAGGAAGCAAATGATTCACATCTGCAACTTGCAGGGTCTTACGCTTACTGTTTTCCTGGCAGCAAAAGTAAAACTGTACAAGGGGAGTTATATTACACAGTGTGTTGAGAATATTCCTGGATAACCATGTGACGTGTGACTACAAGGGCCCGAAATTGTTTTTCTTCAGTTTAATCCTAGCCAAATGTTGGCAGAACAAGCATCACTTTTTCCCCTTTAATCAATTTGCAGCCGCTTTAGTCATTAACATTCAAGTACATCAGAGCTCATCCTGTTACAAAGCCAGTTTAAATAATATTTTTCCCTCACTGGCTACAGTAATCACCATAACACAGACTACTATAATCTGGGCTGCACAATAAGTGCCAAAGAGCTGCAGATTGGGCACCAGGGTCTTAGACAGTTGTCACCAGAATAAGTTCTTATTGTAAGATCTCCCCTCTATTCCAGATCAAGTGACAGATTTTCCCTTACTTTCAGCACCAGTGGCAATGGTCACAGGACAAATCAAGGTTACTCTCTCATTTGGGGACACAAACAGCAGTAAAAACCCAACAAAGATTCTAAGTTAGAATCTTTGTTGGGTTTAACACAGAGAGTTAGAATTTCTAACTCTTCCCTACTCTTTGCAAAATGGGAAAATGGCTTTATATATACTTTAAAGAGCCTTACCTTCAGTCTTGTACAAGTGTGCAGGCTCCTCGCCTGTACTAAAATGATTCTGATTTCAGTACACACTGTATACTTCCCATAGTGTGTGTTAGGAGCTGCAGTAAGTCAGATAGAGCCTGCCTCTTTTCCTGGCTGGAAAAGCATCTTCTAGCCTCCACAGCTTTACTGTCCCTGGCCTGCCCCTTTCATTCATTGGATTTCAGCTCTTTTAATTTGAAGCTTAGCATCATGTGTGGGCATTACATAGGAAAGCCTGCATGCAAATGTATTCAGCTTAGAAAGGCCCACTCATTGCAGACTGATATCTGACCATCAAGGCACTTTGATATTTGCATAACTCCTTCTAAGAGCCAACGCACTGCTTGCATCAGGGCTGACGGCTCTTGAGATAAGTACTGAGCAGGGAGCTGTGATGTTTTCAGGAAGGTATGTACAGCACCCTGCCAACCCCTCCTACTGGACTGTCGCTACTTACCTTGACATTGCCACTCTGGTCACAAGAAATCTTCATGTAAAGTCAGCTGGAAAAACTGACACTTCCGGGAGTGTGAGTCAATCTACTGTGTCCTCCACAGTGCTCTCTGGCATCTTCTGCCAACCTCCACACCACTAATGTATCCTGTAAAGCATCGAGGTCAATAGGGGGAACTACTGAGGTAAAAATAAATATTGGACAGAGGGAAACAAATATTGTTTTGCTATAATTGTATTTTATAATTTTTTAACTTTATACATTTTTAAACTAATTTTATATCTTTTTTTTTACTTAGTATAACAGTTATTAAAAACATTGAATATGAGGAGCATGCATGAAGTTAAGGGTATGGTACAATTTTTTTTAATTTTTTATAGAGAAAGCAACAGAAGCTGTTTGCTTTCATAATGTCTCTCTCTCTATAAAATGACAATAAAGGAGAGCGCCCACTCCATGTGAAGGATTTAAAAAAATTGTAATGTACTCACGAGAGAAAAGTGGCTTCTGATGGGCGATAGCCTCCTTTGAGGGGAGTCATTGAATACGCTTGTGTCACTTTTCTCTCGTGAGTATAGTACCATTTAAAAAAAAGCAAATTATTAAAAGATCCTTCACATGGAGTGGGCACTCTCCTTTTTTGTCAAGAGATGTTAAGGTTCCCTGCCTTGTGGAGCTGCCCCAGTGTGATCAGGTGGAATCAATTAAGGAGGAAGGCTTGCTGTGATTCATTTGCGCTGGGAAGATTTTTGAATTTGTCTCTCTCTCTACTTGATACTTGGTAGGAAGCTGTCTAGGATGAGTAGTTAGGGTAAGGTGTCACTCTAATGACTGATTCAATTGTATGTATACATTTCTACTTGAGTTATAGAGCTCTATAAACAGTAGAATTTTTTTCAGTAAAGCAGGTAATGTTAGCCTAGTAATCATATGACAAGTCTGGAGCTCTACTTCCTATGCATGGTTATGTAAATATCACATTTTCATTTGCAAGATTTTATATTTATCTGACAAAAAGCAAACTTTTTTTGTTTGTTCTAAACATAATAACGTTACATCTTCATTTCCAAATCAACTTGGTCTGTCTCTTGTTACTTTGCTTAAAATATTACTATTGTATAGGGGAAAATAATCCAACAGAAATATAACCATAAAAGAGTCTTTACAAATGTGGATTGGTCTGAATTTTTATTTCCCCGGAAACGCATCCAGCCTGAAGAATAGCATATAAAGAGTGCTTGGGCGAAATCATTACTATGATGTATTATGCTCCGACATACATTAATATATGTCCCAGAACAATACAAGCACGTTAAATAGAGATTTAAGACTTCACTTTATTTGTGCTCTTTCATGCACAAAAACAAACTTTCAGTTCATTATTCCATCTGGTTAACTTGTCAAGATGATAATAACCCTCACTGATAACATCCTCAATGAAAATGGCTGCTTTTCTGCTCTATTTAGGATGAACGGCAGCAAAGCTTTGTGTGTAAACTTGATGTGAAAGGAGAGAAAGTTAGTCCAGTTCCCTCGTAAATGAGATTCTCCAGAGGTATTGCCTATAGATGTGTCATTCTGTACCAGCAGTTAAGAAGTGCTGCAATGCCTGTGGATGGAAATATTAAATCTTGCTTAGCTGCTGTTCGGTGTATACCTTCCAGAGAAAAACACTATAAAGTATATGTCAGGGCAAAATAAAAATAAAATAGGTTCAGTACATTTCTGCAATACGCGCACACTTCCCCATGTGTTATCCCATTAACAATGCTACACGTACAGAAAAAAAAACAAGGAATCCAGTGTGCTCTCAACTTCCTGTTTGCTCAGAAATTCCAAGCAGTGTTGTCAGCCTTGCCTGTTGGAGTAGGGTGAGGGTGCTCTCCGCACACCTTTCAGCAGTCCCGGCCAGTACACAAGGATGGTGCTTGTAGTAACTCCATGGATGGCACCGTGCAAAACGAACAGTTGAAGAAATAGGTCACCAGCACTCAAAAAGTTTAAAAATGAATAAGTCCTTTTTATTGGACCATGGTGTCACGACAATCGAAAAAAGCCGACGTTTCCGGGCCATGCAGGGTCCCTTTCTCAAGGCAGAAAATGTGACCAATACAGTAATTTATTTCCCAGCAAAACAATGCTGCTGCTGCCCTAACTTCTAAGAGCACAATATGTGTAGGTAAAGGGCCTTTGTAAAATGTAGTTCTGGGGGAGGGACAATGTCAATAGGAAATGAGCTCCCAGCAGCTGTCCCTTCAAGAATTTCACCAGCCTGGTTATCATGCCACAGGGTATAATAAACTCTGTTTCGCTCGACAGAAACAGAAAGATACAAAGTAATTGAAGTAATTTACAAGGTGGAAATCCTCTTGTGCAGTATGATATTTGTTAGTATGATGAAGTTATTGCCTTACAGGGGTTTGCTTTAGGACGTGGACAATGAATTACTCATGTGATCCCTGACAAGCTGCGGTAAGGTAATAACGCTGGTGGCCATGAAGGGCCCAATTAATAGAAACGGTATGACATGTTTGAGCTTTGCTTTAGATGATTGGGCTCCTTGGGGTTTAGAGCAGAGAAATAATGAGTGCTTCCATATGTCAGAAGCTCTCTTTAATACATACATGATGTAAAAGGCTCTACACAAGTGATTGCCAGTGGTTCCCTTTCTTATGCAGAAAAGGGTACATACTTTTCTCTACCTGTGTGATGTGTTCATTTGATGGTTCATTTGGGGAAAAGTACAAGGTTGTCGAATGTGGTTTAGTAAAAGGCCAACAAGGAAAATTGCTGTGGAACCGCCATCAAAATTGTTTGAAACGGAGACTCACACATACTTAGAGACAGTTAAATCTTTTTGGGATACTGAGGTTCACATCATCTCTATTGTGCTTATTTCATTTTTTATTTGTTAGTCAGTTAAATATGAAATGTTGAGTATGAATATTGTAACCTTTCCACTTGAAGGCAGGAGTCGGTGAGCACCAGGCAACGTATCAGCTTACTTTAAAGTGTATGTATAGCCAAATTTTTTTTAGCTTTGGATAGAGTAGGGAAGGGTTCAAACCCCTGCCAGTTAAAGTTTTGCTGACTTTGTATAAAATTTCCCTTTGTTCCCTGCCCCAGAGACACAGCAGGCAGTTAGAGGACATTACCAAAGTGAGGGGATTTTCACTCTTAGGCTGTGTTCACACCTGAGCTTATTTTTTCAGCTAGTTTTTCAGCGCGTTTTTCCGTTCAGTGAAAGGCGCGTTTCACTGGCGGTATGATTTTTTCCCCCCCTTTATTTTGTTTTTCAATTTTTTTTTTAGTTTCACTTTTAAACTTCCCACCGGCTATGCGCCCCTGGGACACGGCCGCTCGCAAGGGACGGAACACGGAAGTCAGCAGCCGCCGGAGGACACATCGGGGATCGCGGACAAGGTAAGACCTTACCGCTTTGTTAACCCCGATCCACACTCGGGAATACCAATGTAAACACGCGGAAAACCGCCCCAAAGAAGCTCCTGTACTTCTTTGGGCGTAGGGCGTTTTGCAGCGCGTTCCTACGCGCTGTAAAACGCCCAGGTGGGAACCATGCCCATAGGCAATCATTGGTTTTCACATGTTGAGTGTTTTACAGGGCGTAGGAACGCGCTGTAAAATGCCCAGGTGTGAACCAGGCCTTAGACAGACATCCCTGGAAATGTTGTTCGAATTGGAAGATTTCTATTTACCTCTTGTTTTGGAGACAACTCTAAAATTTTTGATTTTCCCATCACTTTCCTTTTATGTAACAATAGCCACCAGTACAAACAGAGGAGTGAATCTCCCCAATGAAAACACAGATAGCAACTTCCCGACTTAATCCAGAACTTATGTAACACTGGCTCCCTAAGGAGCTGCTGAGATATTGG